GAGAAAGCCCACACAGCTATTGCAAACTACTTTGAAGGTAAATGGGATAACGGAAAACTGTATACTAACAAAGGAGAGACGAAAAATGAAGATAGAAAAATAGCTAAACAGCCTCTTATTTTGGGTGGACTAAATCGTGAGACGAAACGACAGCTTAATAGGAGGAAACTCACAGAGCTGCCATATCATCTTATACAACTGAAAGAATGGGACCGGTTTAAAAAGCTCGTATTAGATCTAGAGTATGCCGAGGCAAAGTTTGAAGCTGGTGACGGTTACAATTGTCTTAGTGAACTTATAGAAGCTACAAAACGATCTGCGTGTGAAGATATCAAGAGAATAACTCGGTTTGTTGGATCAAATCTAGGGTTTTTGATAAGAGAACCGTCCGGGGTTTATCAGATGGCTTTACAGCAGGCAAGGGGAAGTTGCATACGAGAATTGTTGGACGTGTTGAACAAGGAAAGTTTACCAATGCCTCTGATGGTAAATCTACACGAATCTGACTATGACGACCCTTGTGAAATGACCATGCATGGACATACCGCGACGCTTCGATGCTGCAACTTTTCACCTACAGGTAAATTATATGCATGTATATATATATATGCATTGTCACGCTAAGTAGTGCTGTTACCTCAAAAGAAAAAGGACACATTATGGGTAAAGACCGTCACTTAAGATAAAACTTTTTAGATTCTAAGACCAAATTTGCCTCTGAATAAATGTCATTTGTCAATAAACTTTTTATAACGGTAGCCATAGTTTATTGTAGTTAATTGCCATTTTTATTTATTCGCATACAGGTCGGTTTTCTATTGTGTGTTATAATATATAACAAACTCATAAGGTATTTATAATCAAACATATAACAGAGAAATAGAAAAGAAATAAGACTGGCACACTCCTGAAACTTTATTTTTACCTCTATCTCATTACAATAAAATTATCATTTTACTCCGTTAATCTACTCTACGAACTTTTTTTCAGGGGATCTTATTCTATCTTCGGCTGACGACTGTACTATGCGGGTCTGGGATGCAACAACAGGGGCTGAGATAGTGACTATTACGTCACTTCCGGAACCAATATTTCCGGATGAAAGTGAAGGCATGCAGCTGATGTTACATCCAGTAAATCCTTCGTGTTTCTCACGCACTGGTGAAAATATAGCAAATGGTACAGAGTTAGGTGAAGTCATGCTTTGGGATAAATCCGGTGTTCAGGTACATTAACACTTCAATCTCATTAAAATCAGTTCATCATTTTCGCTTCCTTACTCTCAACAAAACGAAAAAGTGACGCGTCAGTTGAGATATAATTTTGAGATTGATTAAGAGAAGGGGAGCGTCATTGGGGATATGATGTGAACGAGACTGATTTAAAGTAGTGAAGCGTCCGTTTTATAATCAATTAAGAGGAGCGGAGCGTCACTCTTTTTTTAATATTCCTCGACAATGAGGCCGCTATTTATAACCTTAGCATAAAAGAAATGCTCACTCATATCCTACTAATTATAAAATACTTCCATTACTTGTTGTTTTCGTTTAAATGCTCCAAAGCTCAATGGACATTTTTCTGACATTGCTCGCTATTCCTTGCCGTCTTCTAGAAATCAGCAAATAACTGAAATAACGTTTTATAACACAATATTGCTAATGTTAATAAATGTGTATTTAGTTGTACCTAGCCTCGTTGCTGCAAAAATTACCATGAAGGCGAGCCCAACGTTTTTGAAATATATATAGTTGACTCTCGTATCTCAAATTTCAGGAAATTACTTCTGTATGTAAAAACGAAAATTGACGAAGTTTGCCGAATAATTACAAACTGTTTTTAAATGGAATTCCATAGATATATTGCTAATCCTTAGTACTGACGCAAAATCGAATGAACTAAATAACATGACAAAATATATAACTAGCTTGTTGGTGTTTTTTATTATGGTGTAAAAGGTGTGTTTAATATCTTATAAATGGCTTATTGTTTTGTATTATTGTTTTCTTCCAGTTATGCTCTCAGAGCACGGGTAATAAGGCGGTGGTGTATATACAATTCTCCCCAGACAATCGTCACATCGCCACGGCCTTCAAAAACAGTGTTCTCTCAATTTGGTCGTCTGCAGACTTGAATCTCGTGAAAACGGTTAATATCGACTGGTATGATTTGACATGTCTGGACTTTTCTAGGGACGGAAAGAAACTGGCTGTGATGAGCACGAGAGGTAGGAAAATCAAAAGTCTTAAACATTTTACTATTTTCTTTATAATAATGATAATAGCTGCGCTGTTGATCTATCGTTTTGTTCAAATCATTGTTCTTTGTTTTTAGTTTAAATCTTTGATTCCGTTATCTCTAAGATAATAAACACAACTGATTGTAACCTTGAAAAAAAATCGTTATAGTACAGGTGGTATGACTATTTTCCTTATTAATGACCTCAAACGTAAGCCCATGGATGCTGTTAGATATGCAAACCTAACATACTGTGATTTTTTAC